ACCTACTGGGTACCAGTAACTCCTCCAGTCCCCGAGGCATGACAGTAAAAAAATGTCTCCAGCCTTTGCCCAATTTCCTGGACTGTAGGGAGAAATGCAGCAATACCACCCTCAGTTTAAACCACCACTTTAGAATGCAGAGACCTGTGTGTGTTTTCAACCACAAGGAAAGAAATATATAAATAGTTTCAGTGTCTTGTCACGTCAAACTTTTCTGTTTTATATCAATACAGAGGGAATAATGCCAAAATTTCAAATGGTAAACAGAAGAAAAATAGCAATGACTGTCAACTAAGGGGATGGAAATCAGCAGTTCTTTATTGTTGTTCTGTTCTGCAATAGTGCAAGTAAAGATAACTTTGGGAGAAAGATAACTTGGACTGTAATTTTATTTAATTTCAGGCCATGGATGTAGGGTAGGCAAGCTCCAAAACTGGGGCTCAGCCCAGGATGGTTGGTTCTTGGCTTCACCCAGGAAAGAATTCAAGGGCGAGTAGGAGGTGTTAGATAGCAACTATTTTTTTTTTTTTTTTTTTGAGATGGAGTCTTGCTCTTGTTGCCCAGGCTAGAGTGCAATGACATGATCTCATCTCACTGCAACCTCTGCCTCCCGGGTTCAAATGATACTCCTGCTTCAGCCTTCCCAGTAGTTGGGATTACAGGTGCTCACCACCACGCCCAGCTAATTTCTGTATTTTTAGTACAGACAAGGTTTTGCCATGTTGGCCAGGCTAGTCTCGAACTTCTGGCCTCGTGATCTACCTGCCTCGGCCTCCCAAAGTGCTGGGATTACAGGCATGAGTCACCATGCCCAGCCTCTAGATTGAAGCAGCAGTGTCCAGCAGCAGCAGAGGTGCTGCTCCCTGCAGAGCAGGGCTACCCCACAGGCAGTGTGCCCAGAGTGGCAGCTCAGAGGCAGTTCTACAGTAATGACATGCAAATTAAAGGGTGCATTATATAGAAATTTCTAGCTACGAAAAGCAGGGTAACTTCTAGGTTGTTAAGTTTTTGCCATGGAAAGGGGCTGTAACTTCTGGGTGTTCCACTGGCAATAGTAAACTGACATGGCACAGCGACGGGTGTGTCTTATGGAAAGCTGCCTCCACTCCAGCCCTGTTTTAGCTTGTTTTCGATTTGGTCCAGTGTCCGAGCCCCGCCTCCAGAGTCGAGTCCTGCGTCCTACCTCAGTATGACCAAATTAAGAATATACACTCTCTATGCAATAAAAAAAAAATTTAATAATTTGAGAACAAAATGTTCAGCCAAGAGTTTTGAAAAAAATCAAAAGCTTGACAGTACTCTTGCTGTATAGATAGAAAGAAGAAATGAATATGACAGGAAATTTTTATAGCTTGTGCTTGTCTTTTGGCTTTTTTAGACATGATGCATTTGGAGTCTTTCAGTTGTTCCGACCTCCCAGCTTCCTTTCGAAATGAAAGCTTTAGCCTTTAGACATGAAATACTGCACCCCAGTTGCCCCTATTTTTAAACAGATTCTGCAGAGTTGATATTAGTATAATGTTTTAGGCAGAAGTTCAAAAAAGAAATAATTCAATCCCATATATTTACTTAGTCACATATTAAAAGAAATATAATTTATAATAAATATCTGCTTTCTAGTCATAGCATAACAGAATGCAAAGAAAATTAGGTATGAGCAGTGACATACACTCATGTATATATGTAATTAAACCTTAAAAATAAAGCTGATGGATTTTTTTTATACCAGTCCAAGAATAAATAATACCTAAGTCAAAGTCAGGTCTTATGAAAGTGCTTTCTTAAATATAATGGGCTAGTTCAGAAGGATAGACCTGTTAAGCTCTCTCAGTTTAGAAAGAGCTCTCTGTGTCAGGGGGCAGTGGCTCACGCCTATAATCCCAGCACTTTGGGGGGGCCAAGGTGGTAGGATCAGGATTTTGAGACCAGCCTAGCCAACACGGTGAAACCCCGCCTCTACAAAAATACAAAAATTAGCAGGGCATGATGGTGCATGCCTGTAATTCCAGCTACTCAGGAGGCTGAGGCAGGAGAATCACTTGAACCCAGGAGGCGGAAGTTGCAGTGAGCCAAGATTGTGCCATTACACTCCAGTCTGGGCAATAGAGCGAGATTCCGTGTCAAATAAACAAAAACAGAGTTTTCTGGAATAGATCTGGGTGGCACTGCTAGAAAACAAAATAACTGGTCACTTCTGTGGCGGTGGGGGGAAGGGAAATTCAATAAAATTGATTATTTGGCACTGTGAACACACTTCTCTAAGAAAGATGATCACATTTAATTCTCACTTTCCAATTGTTTGCCTTAAATTGCTTTGATAAGAACTTACGGGAAAATACTTCAGAGATTGCTGTAGTAATTTATATACACCAAAATATCTAATGCTTATATTTTCTTCTGTTTCTTATAAAATATGTCCCTGAAGAAATAATGGATATTTGAAAAAGTAATTGCTGGATTTTCTGGAAAAGTCCCCCAAAGATAAAGACTTTAATTTTTAAAACAGCCATTAGGTTAATATTAGTGAACTCTGGTATACAGCATGTTCCAAGGGAGGTCATACTCTTGAGTTAATTCTAAAATAAGCTGTTTATTTTGGTTTGTTTCATGACTATAGGTTGTAGCTTCAACTCAGGCCAATCAGATCAAAACTGCGGATGTTGATCCAACAGAAACTACTCCCTAGTGTAAATAAGTCAACTCAAACTCATGGCCATTACTGGAAAATAACTCAAAGCTTATAGACTCAGCCAAAAGGTAACCTATTAATGTGGGGGAAGAAATCAACCAATATGTATTGTTTTGTGGTTAATCAATAATTCTACCTTCATTTAAGGAAACAAACAATATGTTTGCCATTCTGAATCACAATAAACAAAGAAAAATTCTACCATTGACTCAAACTTAACCTGAGTACTCATCACAAAGTGTCTGCACCTCTCTATAAATCAGCAAGGTAAATCAAATTCACAGTTCAATTACAGGCAGCCTCGGTTACTGTTTTAAAACTGTTAATGAACAGTATTTGAAGTACTGTTTGTTTGAACAATGACTCAGATTATAGGGTTTCAACTGAAAAACAAAAATTTACAGTGGTAAAGGTAGCACACCCATCCTCTACAAAATAATGTTCCAAATGACCAACTCGACCTTTGGTTAAAGCAATGATAATCAACGTTCTGTTCCATACCATAAACACTCTTACCCCAAATATCTGACATTCGAAAAGAGTCTTAAAGCAAACAAAGGAAGGTGAAGTGAGATACTGTGTTTTTGATGCTGCAACAATACCTAATGTTTTGAATGCTGCAAAGGGATGATGACAGAAACAGAAAAGAAGCTCTTAGTGTTGTTTGGAAAACATCCTGCAGATGACTGCATCTGCTGTCATTAATTTTGCAAAAAAAAAGAAAAGGTAGCCATATTATCTCCCCTTTGTGGTATTGCAGTTGCCCATTCTTCACACTTCTTTTATGAAAATGAGATTAAATAATAAGAAAACAGGCTGATATTAGGGATTCTTTTTGAAAAGCAATCATAGCATCCGTGCAGTTTAACCCAATTCCCCAACTTACTACATTCACATCTTTAATGTTTACCACAATTGACGTTTAAAATATTTAACTCAAGGCACTATAAGAATCTGAAAAGTCAATTGTGTTTAATATACCTTGTTTATTAAAGCATAAAATTAGAAAATATATTTTCAAAAGATTATTCAAAAACTGTGATTGAAGCAAAGAAACAGAAGTTGGGATGATCGATGGGTAGTCAGATGGCTTATGTTCAGCCATGCCAGAAAACTGAGCTGTAACCAAATGTTTATTGTTCTGTTGCAGAGCTCTTTTAAGTCAAGCCGCCCAAATGCACTGTCAGCAGTTCTCAACCTCTGTGTATGTGTGTGTGGTGGGGGTCGTGGGGAGAGCAGGGGCTAATGGAGAGAACATGTCAAAATGCCAAACTGCAGAGTTCTCTTCATACAGATTCCAACTCTGTAAGTCAGAGGGGGATCCAGGATTGACCTTTGAAATAAGTAACCTAGGTGATTCTGAAGCAAGTGGTCCATGAACAATACTTTGAGAAATATTGTAGCCTTCTCCTTAACTCTTGAGAAACCTCGCTTTACAGTCTTAATAGTCTCTTCCCAACCATTCTCAGGCACGTACACCCCTCATAAAAGGATCCTCCTTGCTTCTTATGGTTTCCTGGGAGTCCCTTTCCAGTCTCTGCTCCCAAATGTTTTCTTTGCCTCGCTTCCTGAATCATTTCATTCCACTGGACTACTTGATGCTTTAGACAGTTCTTTGCTTCTTTACTGAGCTTACCTGATACAGAGACTCTACTTTCCCTGCAAATGCAATTTTCTGTAGAGTATAGACAGTTCTGTTTCTCTTTCAGTGTATATGCTATCAAAAGTGTGTGACATTAGTATTTTGAAAATGGCATAGTAGTGTGATATAAAGAACCTGCGGTCTCAAGCCGGACCTAAGTTTGCATATCCATACTGCTTAGCTCTAACTATGGATAGTGAGAAAGTTGTTTGAGGCTCTGACCCTCAGGCTCCTCATCCATAAAGTGAGTAAGATAATACCTCCCACTTGGGGCTTCAGTTGGGGTTCAGTGAGTTACTATCAGTGGAAAGGCCTTTGGAAACTGTAATTTCCTACAGGAGTATTAGACTATTAGGTAAAGTTTTGAACATTTTTGCCCAGCAAAAAGAAAACCCTGCTAATAGTCATTTTTAAATCCCCCTCTTCTATAAAATAAAATATAGAACTTCTAGCTCTTTCTCATGAGGGGTTAAAAAATATAATCCCATTATAGTAATTTCGTTCTTTAGACACCAATAATGCTAACTCTTTAGTGATCTGAAAACCAACTGTTCTGGATATTTTTCACTTTTCATCCCCTTCCCCATTTCATCTCAGGAAGTGCCCACTAAAAATTATACTTTATGGACTCCCTCATTGACTGTCTTCTGGGTGGGGCTGGCAAACAGAGGCACCAGTGAGAGATGGATGACAGGAGGAGCAGTGACAGGGTATTTCATCCCCACTCATTGTTTTGAAATCACATCTCTGGCAGTAACTATGTCCACCCACTAAGACAGCTGCATTCCCTGCAGTCCCAGGGCTCACTGGGTTCCAGTACACTATTTCCTCTGCTCAGCCCGAGTCCTAGGTGACTTAACGGCTGCCTGCTTTCAGTCCCTGGATAGAGCACCCCACCATCCTCTGTTTGATTCCAACCCATGTCCCTATAACTCCTTTTATTAAAGTCTTATCTGAACCATCCAGAATGAATTCCGTTTCCTGCTGGGACCCTGATTGATATAGCAATACAGGAGGTCAACAACCTGCCTGGGAGTTTTGAAGCAGGACAGGAATGTAAGTTCACTTTTATGATCAGGGATTTGTGTTATTGTAGATTATATTCCATTGTCTTATTCTTTATCAAAAGCAGGCATTCATGCTAATATTGAATCTTCAGCCTGCGGGAGCATGGTTAAAAAGATCATTGCCCTAAAGCTAAATAGAAACAAACGTATTCTCTCTCCTGAAAAACGTCTCTGAAGTTTTTGTTGTTGTTGTTGTTACTAAGGGGTACTTTGGCATTGGGGTGTTTTTCTCTTCTCTATACTTTATTTAAATGATGCATAGAGGTTTTCTAGTTGAGGAGTGGCACTGTTTTCTGCTGTTGAGTCGGGATGTAATGTAATTTCACTTTTTAAAATATATAAGTTTTTAATGTGAATTAAACTCCCTCAATATTTTTATGGAGAAAAAAATTAATAAAGAACCTATTAACATTGGAAAATAGGCTGTCTCAGTTACACAGTAACTTTTTCCCAATGGTTTTCTTAATATTTATATGTTAACATCATAACAGTGCATTACAATTTATATAACATGGAGCCATTTATTGCAAAAAACTGTCCATTAAAATCATATCCCCATCCTACAGCCAGACTCAACATGCCATCATGGCTCAGAGGAAGCCAAATGCAGGATTACATGATAGGCCAGAAGCTGGGTCATGGTCTACCAGGCCAGGTAAGTCATACACGTTGCGTAAAAGAGCCAAGTAAATAGAGAAACACGAAAGTCTCTGTAGAGTAAATGTGCACTCAGGCAATTATTAAAATAAGGATTGCGGAAGATTCTCTTCTCTCCTTTTCTCTAGGCTTATCCTTTTAATAAGAACAAAAGTAAATCAAACGTGTATGCACAAAGACACAGAATACATTCTAATAACTTCAGGGACTCTGTTTTAATTGACTAAAGGGATATATTTCGAGTGGAGAAATGATGTCTTGAGATCCCTTCATTCTATCTGGGTGTTACAACTGATATGGGCCTGTGTCAGGCAAGTTAAGAACAATGCGTGCTATTCTGATGCCTGGATATTATAGGTGCAGCAATAACTAGCTTGCAGAGCTTCAAAGAGCAGAAACGATTTCCACCTTAATAACCCCTGTGGCATTTTTCAATTTTCCAGGCTGCCAGTCAAATGAATGCATGTCTGGGAAGCAGAGGAGACAAGAAAGGGAAAAGATTAACCTCTGAGATCCATGATATAAATTCCATTGGCTAAAATTGGTCATGTGCTAGAAAACAAGCATGGGTGGTGATCGCCCTGTCTAAACACTGTGCACAAATGTTAGAACAAAGATTCTCGGAGAGAAACTGGGATCTCAGGGTCATCTGGCTGAAATAATCTTGGAATGCTAATCATTCATATTTTCTTCATCCTCTAAGTTGAAAGAAACCCAGCAGTCTCCACCTGATGATCTTCACACTCATTAGCCCAAGAGATGGTTCTTAAAAGCCAGCATTGTCTTTTTAAATGAGAAAGGCTTGCAGAAAACACGGACCTGCTACTGCCTAAACCATTGGAACTCAACTGAGTTAAACAAGCAGAACTCTTGGTACTGCCCTTTCCTCATCCTTACTCTGCAGCCTTTCTCCAGGCTTCCTTTATCCATCGAAAAATTAGAACACTTTCCCCCAGGAGGTGAAGAACCTCTAATTACAGATGCTCCTTAAAAAGCTAAGATTACTGCTATTGCCAAAAGGGCAAAATGCAAATAATATGCAGAATGAATTTGCTCTAAAGACGATGACATGTTGCAGATGGCTCACTGCAGTTTAACTTGCTTCTCACATTTCCAGGTGCTGAACACTTTCAAATTGTCTTTCAAAATGTCTTTTCAGCCTCTGTTTTCTACCCAGTGCTCCGCCCTGAACCTTTGTGCAAAAACTGGGCATTCCAAAAATAAGACAAAGGATCACTCATTTCTGGAAAAGAGGTCCTTGGAAGCAAAGGGAAAAACTGAAATAGTCTGATTTCTGTTTGAAATCACCAGTGCTGCTTCTAGAGTTTGGGACAGAGCCACCTTAATACTGCCAAAGGGCTGCTGTTTTGAGGGGCTACTTAGCCTGATCTAACCCCTTTTTAATTAATTCATCTATTTATCTATTCATTTATTTATTCAAAGAATATGTATTATGTAGCTATATGTAAATACTTCCATGATAGATACATAAGAAAAAGAAAAGATAAATGGGCTGGGGCGCGGTGGCTCACACCTGTAATCCCAGCACGTTGGGAAGCCGAGGCTAGTGGATCACCTGAGGTCAGGAGTTTGAGACCAGCCTGGCCAACATGGTGAAACCCTCTGTCTACTGAAAATACAAAAATTAGCCCGGCATAGTGGTGCAGACCTGTAATCCCAGCTACTTGGGAGGCTGAGGCAAGAGAAGCACTTGAACCCTGGCGGGGGAGGTTGTGGTCATCCAAGATCATGCCACTGCCTGGATGACAGTGAGACATCGTCTCAAAAAATAATAATAAAATAAAAGATAAGATAAATGCAGTTTATAAACATGTATCTTGCTAAAGAGAGTCTGTCCCCACCTTAACTCATTTCTAGACTGGAAACTGCAAGAGTGTCTGATCTGTCCTCCTCTTCCCATCCATATGCCCCTCCAATCCACTCTGTACAGTGCTCCCAGGTTAGTGATATTTTCAAATGCAGCTCCCGCTGTGTCATCCACTATGTATAACCATCACACCTTACTTCAAGATAAACGTCAACATTCTTAAGATAGTGCTCAAAGCCTCTGGAAGTCTTGGATTGGTCTTAACCTTCAACCTTATCTTGTCCCATTCTTCTTTCATGCAGTGAGTTTCTTTCATTCTGACCTTATTTTTTAAACATAGATTTACATTTGGAAGAATTTTAGATGTACAGAAAAATTGTATAAATATTTCCCATATACCCCTCACCTGGGTTCAGTTTCTTTTAATGCTATCATCCTCCATTACTGTGAAATGTTTGTGAAAACTTAGAAACCAACATTAGTACATTACTTAGTAACTAAACTCTGTGCATTATTCAGATTTCATCAATGTTTCCATTAGTGTCCTTTTTCTGTTTCTGGGTCTAAATACTCTGACCTTCTTTTAAATCTTTCTCCCACCACAGGGTCATTGTGCATGCCATTGCAATGCTTAAAACGCTCTCATTTACCCTCATGCCTTCCTCCTAGCCCTCTTTGCTATGTGGTTTCTACTCATTGTTCAGATTTCAGTCCAAAGGGCACTTCCTCAGAGGAGCGTCTCAAGTCCAGGTCTAGGACTGGTTCCTTTATTACAGGCCTTCACACAACCATTTACTCTTCCTTCATAGCACTTTCCTCAATCTGTAATTTTACCCTCTGATATGATTGGCTGTGTCTCCACACAAATCTCATCTCGGACTGTAATCTAAATTGTAACTCCCACGTGTCGAGGGAGGGACTGGTGGGAGGGGATTGGATCATGGGGTGGTTCCCCCATGCTATTCTTGCGATAGTGAGTGAGCTCTCATAAGATCTGCTTGTTTGATACATGCCTGGTGCTTCTCTCTTCTCTCTCCTGCCACCATGTGAGATGTCCCTTGTTTCCTCTTCACCTTCTGCCATTATTATAAATTTCCTGAGGCCTCCGCAGCCATATGGTACTCTGAGTCAACTAAAATTTTTTTCTTTATATATTATCCAGTCTTCACGGGTCAGCTAGGGGAGGGGTTTCAAATGCAGGAATTTGCCGGCTCCAGGCCTCCATCCAGAGACCAGAGAGGTTTCAAATGTTAAGCTCTTTGTCTGGTTTTCCTAAACATGGGACAGGTAGTGAAAGCCAAGTGGGGCTCTTTTGTCCCAAATTCCCACCCAAAGCTCTGGGAGGAGGGGGCTCTGTAACTCGGGGTTGTAGAATAAGTAGCCATTCCAGTATCCGAGTCAAAGATCAATCACTCCAGAGGAAGTCTGAAAGAACTCCTCTCACTGGACAAGAACATGAATGGGGAGGGAATAACTCAAGGGTTAAAACCTCAGCTGCTCCTACCTGAATGGAATTCCCTCTCTGGGGTCCCCTCCCATAGCAGTGTGGGAGCTGTCTTCTTTCCATCTCTCTAATACAACACTCTTCTGCAGAGCTCTTTGGGTCCGTGATATTTATTCGAACAGCAAACTCACCATGCCACTGGGGCCCCTTTCCCCATTCTTTGGGGTTAGAGAGGCCAAAAACCTACAAGCTTTGGGAGCTGGATACACTCCCCCAGTTACATTCTCTTGATGTGATAATTTAATTATTGTCTTTGTTTACAAGTAGACTCCAAAGGCCATGAAAGCAGAAATCTTATCTGTGTTTGCATTGTATTTCCCCAAGACCTAGCATCATCTGTGGCACAGAGTAGGCTATCAAGACAGGTGTTGAATAAATGAATGAGCAAATATATGATGAATGAAAGAGGGGAGAAGAGTGAAGTGATAATAGGAGAAAGCACATTATAGAACATCGAAGTAAGTGATGCAGACAGTAAGTATCGCAGGACTTCAAAAGAGGAAAAGATGAAAGTGAGATGTGAAATTATGTTAAGACTTCATGAAAATGGGAGTGGGAATTTGCCTGGACATTTTATTCATGCAATTAACAATTACTGATTACCTACTAAGTGTCAAGCTCTCAAAGTGTTTTGTTGTAAATAAAATTATACGATCAGTGTGACGGGTAAAAAAAAAACAATGGAGAAATAGGGAGGATGGATTGAAGCAGAAGGAACCTGGGAATTGAAAAAGTCGTTAAGATAACAATCCACCTAAGAAATACTGAGGTCTTGTACTAAGGCAGACATGCTGAAAATTATAAACACTCAACAAGGACTTGGAGATGCCAAACAATAGAATAGGAAATTCCCAGAGGGGATGCAAGCAATAAGAAAAAGTTAAGAGTTACACCTTAGCATGGACATTGGGGAAGCAGTGAGAATACTTCCAGGTTAAAGTAAAGGGCTCCTGATGGAAGCAATGAAATGGAGACTTGAATAGATGAACTGTGCTTTTGAAAAGTCAAGGTGATTGGATTTTATTCTATTAGTGATGAGTCATTAAACAATAATGACAGGATGAAAGTGAGATATAGCATAAGAGAATCTAGATAAAGGGAAAGTACATTGAGAAGCTGCTGCAGAAATCTAAGCACTTGCTTTAGAGTGTTAGCGTTAGAACTATAGAGATGACATAGCTATGACACTTTTAAAAAGAACATTGACTTAAAATACCCGTTAGCATCCACTACGGTATCCTGTACATTATATTTTATCCTTTATGTTTGCAGCTGACCTACTCTTCTTTATGAAGAAAACAACTTGGAAGACTAGTCGATTGTTGAATATCCATAAATACTTGCTAAGAACCCTTTATATGACGAGTAAATGGAACATACAAAAAAAAGTACAAGTGTTCCTCCTTTGAATTATCTCTTTCACTCTTATCAGCTTCATCTTATCAGGAGAAATTAATCTATGCCATATACTTTTGTGGTAGTCCTCCTCCAGGATGGCCTCCACTGATCTCCACTTCCTGGCATTCACACGGCGTGGCATCCTCTCCCACGTGGCATTGGGGTTGATCCGTGAGATTTAACACACAGCAGAAGCCAGAGTTTATCGTTTCCCAGAGTAGGCTATAACAAGACCGCAGCTTCCATCTCGGCTTTCTCTCTTTTTCTCAGATAAGCCACTCCAGGGAAAGCAGCTGCTGTGTCGCCAGCACATTCAGCAGCCTGTAGAGAGGCACCTGTGGCGGGAAGGGAGGCCTCTGGACATCAGCCAGCGAGGGACCGAGGCCTGCCAACAACCACATGAGCGAGCTTGGAAATGGATTATCCAGCCCCAGTCAAGCCTTGATGGGACTGCAGCTGCTGCCAACAGCTTGACTGCTACCTTGTGAGAGACAGCGAGCCAGGGCCGCCCAGCTAAGCTGCTCCCCATTTTCTGCCCCTCAGAAACCGTGAGAGATAATAAGTGTTTGTTGTTTCAAGCTGTTAAATTTGGGGGTAATTTGTTACACAGCAATAGATAACTAAAACAACTTTGTACTACTAAACATTAAAAATTATCTAGGAAATTACGTTTCCATCTTTGTCCAAGCTGCTAAGAAGTACAAACTGAATACGATTCTTGATTTCACTTGCCTGAAATTGTTGGTTTTTCCTCTTCCCCATTCCCTTTATTTTTTTATTCTCATACTTCATTTTCTATCTACTGACTTTGGTTTTATCCTATTTACACATTTATTGCAAAGCTCTTAGAGACTTTTTTTTTAAATCAGATGAGAGACAAAACAACAAAGTAAAGACAGTAAACATCAGACAGGATTCCAGCCACCATCAGAGAGATGAAAAATCTCAGAGAGAAAAAAGAGCAATACAGCACAGCCCGTTACTAGTGTTCAACTAACTAGCAATTGCTCTTAGAATTCAAAGAAATGATACACCAGAAAAAATGTGTTTTTGGTCAATTTCCCCTGAAGCAGACCTTGAGATAGGATTTGCATTATGAAAGTGCTCTTAAAATAAACTGCTAAGGGAATGGGGAAAGCCAGAACAGAATGGGGAAGAAGTCAAGCCAGGGTAATATCTCAACATCTCACAGAAGATTGCTTCAGGCTGATCCTCCATAGGATGTTTGCAATATAAGTTAACACCTCAGAGATTGTCCTGGGGCAAAGGAAATGAGCTTCCAAGCTTCTGCACCAGTCACCCGTTGGCCGTGGTCCTCTCAGGGAAGCGAGCTGTTAGGGACTACAGCTCTCTGTGGGACTCTCTGGATGTGTAGATAAAGTGGCGGCAGTAGCCTGTGCAAGTCCTTCAAAGAAAGTTCCAGGTGTCTGTGGTCAGGGGGAAGAGCACACTGAACCCAAGAAAACACACAGAGGTGGTAAAGGGAGCTGAGGGCATCTAAGTAGAGCATCAAGGTCTGCTCTGTTGGAGAAAGTTCCATTGAAGGAGCTGGCTCTTCACCTGTACTGAGCCTTAAAGGATAGGCAGAATTGGTATAGACATGGAGGAGAAAGTATTTTATAGAATCTGCAATTCAAAGACTAATTATAAAAGTAGCAGAATCCACCAGGTGCTCTAGAATGATAAGTTATTACCTAGACTCTGAATTCTATTTCCAGTCCCAAGGAGGTATCCTGAATTCATCTTTTACTTAGGTTATTAAATACAATCATTTGTCTTTAGATAAGGAGTGATAGAAGGTTTAAAAAAATCATATGCTTCTCCCAAACTTTAGCAATGCTATTATTCATCCATTCTGGTCCTAAAATACAGATACTGCACAAATATCTGCCCTCAACAGTAAATAAAAAGGAAGCCTGGTGGGAAGAGGATGAGACCCACCTACGTGTTTTAAAACTGCCTATTCTATTATCATCATCCCTGGGTTGCAAAATTTGGAAACCATTTCAAATAAAAGATATTTAATAATGTGTCTCTTTTACTTTCTTTTTTTAGTAGAATTTATCACTAACAAGCAAAGTGCAGTAATAGCTTTTCCTCCTATGCATGCTTTAGGATGTGGTCTAACTTTATCTGGAGTTGGGCAGAAAGGCATAAATCATTAAGCCCCGGCTGGCCTGATCAAGAGCCTATCTTTCAGAAAAACCAAGTGTCTAGAGGCTGCCATTCACAGAAACTCTCCCCAAGGATTCATCAGCCACCAAACAGAGAGGCAGGCAGGTCAATGACACCAAAATCTGCAGCTTCAGCAGCTTCTGAAGTTTCTGACCAAAAGAAAAAAAAAATTACATAAAATAAAATAAGAGAGAGAGAGAGAAAAAAAAGAGAGATGGTATGAATAAAAAATCTCAAAGGAACTTTAACAAACCATCTCAGAATTCACAATTTACATTCTGGAAAGGAGGCTTTTGGAGGCCTACAACATACAAGCTTCTGTTGCTAAAATAATGAGCTACCCCAAGCAGCCACAGACATTTATTGTTTTATTAGCTAGGACCTAGTTCCATGTGCTTTAAAAAAATCATTTTGACACAAGAATTTCTTCATGATATCTTTTATCATGTTATCATGATTTATATGTAGACAAACCAAACTAAAAGATTCCGATTTAAAGAACACAGGCACTGCCTTCCAGGTGAATACTCCTCTTTCAATTTGTCCTTGGGTACTCTTGTACTCTGGCACCACCAATTTATTCCACAAAATTATGGAATTCCAATCCAGATCAGGAACCATTGCTTTTAGGATTCGTGTTCATTTTCTAGGTAAGGAAGCTGAGGTTCAGAGCGGTTGAATCGACCTCCGCAGGGCCAGGCCAAGCCTGTTGTAGAAGAAACCCAGTCACTGGTCTTCCTGCTGAAAGCTTTTCTAGTTATACCACAGTTTAACTCAAAAGGTTAGAGACAAATTTAAACTCCAAAGATTCTTCAGAGGGCAAGACACAACACGATGAAACTCAGATAGATAAAAAGCAGAACTCTTTATTACTCACAACTCCTAAGGAGAGAAGGCTGCCAGGCAGGGCCACACAGGAAGTTAGGCAGGGGAAGCTAACAGCAAGCTGGAGCTGTGAGAGGCAGCTTAAGAGGGCTTCCTGTGGATCGGCTAATTTGAATAATTCCTGGGACTCAGGCTCCAGGGCCGAAGAACTGCCCTAGTTGTTTGGTATTTTGCCCTGGGGTAATTAGGGCACATGCATAGCAGCCTAAGCACATGGGAGCTCCAGGAAAGAAATGGCTAGGGTATGGATTCAGCCTTCTCAAACAAGAGCTAACTCACCTTTAGCCATGGCCTTAAAACTGGGTATAAAACATCTCCCAAAATTATTTTACAAATAGTTATTAATAAATAGTGTTAGCCTTTTGCCAAACTATAAATACTCAGAGAAGCAACTGTGAAAAGGCAAAACAAAATAAAAACAATAAGCCAACATGGTTAATCAACAGACCTGGATTTGAGTTTTTCTGCCACTCATTTGCTCTGTGATTTCAGCCAAGTTAGCTAACTTTCCCTGTACTTCAGGCTCCTCAGCTGTGAATCAGGCATTGACATAATTTACAGGACTATTGCGGAAATTAAATGTAATCATATATATTAACAAACACACATATTTCATATGTTTATGTAAACTATAAAGTTATAAACAAAGGAATTTTCACCCCAATGACAAGTTTCATACAAATATAATGATATCAAGATATTTTTAAGGGACTGCATTCTTATCACTACAGATATACACAGCCTTCTAGCTCTCAGGGAGTGTCTTTTTACTACCAAATAGACAGAGCTATAAATTGTGGATTCTTGATATAATAGATCAAGATAGCCCCTTTCCATGTGTTATGTTCTACTGCCTTAAAATAATAAACTGCCAAGACAACATCATGCATCATACTAGAGGCAGATTATTCAGTGAAACTCCCAAGGAGAGGAACTTGCAGCTCACAGACCCTAGGTTTCATCCTTTGTTATCTGATTCTTCTTTGCAATGTCCTAAATTTTACAGAGTAAGAAAAACCTTAACTTATAATAATCAGAAAAAGTATGATTCATAAAAGTACTTCACAATTCTTAGAAACACAAAACTTTAAAATTATCAGTAGTAAAAGTAGTATAAAAATAAATCATTCTGGACTTAGAAGAACTGCTTTTTGGGTGAAGATTTATAAGGGAGATCAAGACATGGGAGTCTGAATATAAAACATTCAGAATTCCCTTCCAGACACTCAGAAGTTCTCGTTTCTCAGTTCGTGTTTCTCAGGAAGCACAGTTCTTTTGATGTCAATAAAAGAGACTCAAATTGGCCTCAGCACAGATTTTTTTATCATTAAAGTTTCTTCCCTCATCAGAAATGGGTGGTCTAGAGAAGAACCCCCAAGGAAGGAAGGGACCTATCAGTTACAGCCCTTACTAGGTTCTCATATGGGTCCAAAAAGAGCTTTTCAGAAAGGCCTCAAAAGTTTCCAAGACACAGAACTCTTCTCTTGTAACCTTTCTTTTTGGAAACAAGACACAGGTGAATTATTCAACTACACATTTTTCAAAGCATTATTGTGTGTGGGGTGGAGGAGGGGGGTGGTGGAGAGAGAGAGCAAGTGTCTTGCTCTGTCTCCCAGGCTAGAATGCGGCGCCATCTCAGCTCACTGCAATCTCTCCCTCCCAAGATCAAGTGATTCTCCTGCCTCAGACTCCCCAGTAGCTGGGAGTACAGGCACCCACCACCACACCCAGCTAATTTTTGTATTTTTAGTGGAGACGGGGTATAGCCCTGTTACCCAGGCTGGTCTCAAACTCCTGACCTCAAGTGATCCACCCACCTCAGCCTCCCAAAGTGCTGGGATTACAGGCATGAGCTACCATGACTAACCTCCTACAGTGTGTATTTTTAAATGTTTTGTACTTTTGAAATGCTATAGCCTGCATAGTCCACTTTCAGGAGAGTATCACATATAATGAAGCCCAGCACAGACAGAAATTTCTGATCGTTACTCACAAATCTCAGGTATTTAGAGGGTCTATTTGCAAGTGCATGAAAACTCTCACACTGTGTTTTCTTGGACACTCTGTTACCTTAAAACTCCTAGGAGCCTCTTACTGTCCTACTCCAAGTGCATCTGATCTCTTAGCACTAATCTGTGTGCTAAGACCTCCCCTCTTATCTCAGTAGCCAAAACTAGGCTACATGTCCACTGTAAGCCAGTCATGGGTGAGGGAACTTAGACCACCATACTGGACTTAGACAAGTTAGAATTTACTGCTGAATCATATGGAAAATGCTGGACATTGAATGCATCCAATTCTAAAATAATCATGGTATAGGAACTCAACAGGGTATGTTAGCATTGCCATTTCTTGAGTAGTGTACGTGCTTAGCATTGTAAATATATTATGCTAGTCAACTGTCAAATACCCATGAGGTAGCTATCTCTATGCTTATTCTACATATGAGAAAAAAAATTGCAGAAAGGGTCAGTTATATGCCCGGATGGATCAGTAATACAACTGATGTCACATCCCTTTTCATGGCGGAACCAGACACCATGGCCAAGTTGGTCAGATTACAAAATGTTTGCCATTACCCAGTGTGCTGAACTTTGAAATGAAAACCCCAACAGGTATCATATCCGTTGACTCATCCCAATGAGTTGCTATTGAATCATCAATTTTCCTTCCTGGGAAATTATTGGCAAATAACCAATGAAAGTCACTGAGCTTAGACCCCTCTCAGTTGCTCCAAAACCAACTTAGTTAGATTTACCTACGTTGGGATTATTCAACAAAACTGCCATACGGAAAACCAGAAAGAATGGGAGGCTTGCCATGAAGTGCTGAGAACAATAGTTGTTAGGAAGAGATACCAAAATATCATTGATTCGCTGGAGAAAATGTTCGTGTTCTGATCCTCACATGCTGATACCGCAGATGGACCCAGTTTAGCTGAGGCATGCTCTGCGCTTCAGCTGTTTACTTAAGCAGCACCAGGGTTCTCAGAAATAGTTGCTATGCCAACCAGCCCCAGGACTACATATACATTCATGACCAGGGCTTATTCTTAAGGCTTTGTTACCTCTCTTTCAAAAGTTTGAAT